GACAGAGGTAGCCACCTGCCTGCACATAGGAGGAAACTCATTGCCCACCACCAGTGGCTACAGTATAAACATCTATCACTCGTTCAGACCAGGGTCTGCCACTGTGCAGAAACACCATTGTGGCAGAAAGAACAGGGAAGAGAAGTCCCGACTACTAGGGCTTAGCAAGCCCTTTCTTTTCTGAGCACCTTATCCATCAGCCATCCCTTTGCACCTACAATGCCAGCAACAGACAGGCTGCCTTCCCAGGACCGGGAGACATACACCGTTCAAGTCAGGAACAGGAGTGCAGAGGAGCACACTTCCTCTTCTTGAGTGCTAAGCCTCCAAGGAAATCCTAGGGATAGGTGTTGCTGTGACAGGAAAATACTTTTCCTGTGGCCACTCTGACACCCAGTGGCAGCTCCCAGGAGTGGCAGCTTCCTGGAGGAGGAACTGAGAGTGTGTGCAGGAAGGTCTACGCAGGGGAGAAGCCCACATTAACTGGTTTCTCCAACTTAACTTGCAGGGGAGCCATGCTGAGGGCTGGTTTGGATTCAGGTCTGATGGGTTCTCAGAGACTCTGGAGCTATGGGACTGGGATCCCTGGGAGCCACAGGCCAAGGAAAGCAATGGAGAGGCCCGAGAAGAGAATCCTTTTACCAACTGCTTGCCTGGGAGGTGGGACCATTACGCAGAGGGGGAGACTGATTTGAGAGGCCATGCTCATCCCAGTCTAGAAGGGCAATGGAGAACTGAGTTCAATACCCCCTAAAGTACACTTGCCCCGATGCAGTCTTTCCTGTAGATTCCACTCAGTAGATTTCATCCTCCACTAGGCAAATGGAGGCAGCTTCTGAAAAGGGACCGAGCAGCCCCCGAGGTAGCCTGATCTTCATATCTCCCCATGGGTATTCAAGGCTCAGCCACCCCCTGCCCTGGAAACATATAAGGTGTCCACGTAGTGTTCAGGGCTGCTTAAGAACACCCCTGTCTCGTGACCTACTAGTGATGCCTCTGCTGTGCTGGGCCTCACTAAGCTGCCTACTTTCTTGGGGGTCAAGGTGAGTGGCCTCAGTTTGATTCTCACTGGACAGGTGTCTTTTTCTAGGTGGCCAGAAAGATAGGGTGGAGAGTGGGGATTCAAGAAGCATCAAAATTAATGTATGAAAGAAATCAAGTGCAGGAGATAACCATAGCCACCCCACCTCTGCACACATACCAGAACCACCACCACCATCACCATCACCATTATTCCACGTGACGTGTAACAAAAAGCTGCATGCACAGAACGAGTGCATGATACGTGACAAAGTGCGTGCTTTACATGCACAAAACCCTCAGTTTAATCCCCTAGTAATGAAAAAACATGTATATGACCCATGAATGGTCACAGAACACACACACTCTCTGTCTCTGTCTCTGTCTCTGTCTCTCTCTCTCTGTCTCTCTCTCTCTCTCTGTCTCTCTCTGTCTCTCTCTGTCTCTCTCTCTCTTTCTCTCTCTCTCTCCCTCCCTCCCTCCCTCCCTCCCTCTTTGGAACCTGCATCTGGCACCAGCTCAGATCAATTCCAAGATCAATTCCAAGTTCAGAAATGTTTCTCCCTTTTAACAACTATTTCCTCTTCCGTTACTAAGCGTGCATCTCTGTTCAAATAATTGTTCAGAGACATGAGAACCTGCAAACTGAATTTGGATCTCCACCTGTAACAGCCAGAGCCATGGAAATCCAGTGCTTGGCGCCCACTTCTCTCGCACTGGTTGAGTCCCTAGGAGAGGACGGAAGCCGTGGTTGGCAGGCCTGGGCCACTGTACCCATCTAATGTCAGTCCTTCGCAGAGCTGAAGCAAGGTGAGAAAGAGCCGTGAAGACCATTGTCCTTTTAAAAAAGTATTCTGTGCATTCAGATGCATGTGTGTACTGGGTATACATGCACTCATGTATGTGTTTGGGTGGGAGTGTACAAGCCAGAAGGCAAGGTAACCTGTAACGTTGTCATCAGGAACACTGGCCATCCCCTTCAAGTCAAGGTCTCTCACTAGGCTGAACTGTTGGCCAGAGAGTCCTCGGGATCTGCCTGTCTCTTCCTCTTTGCTCTGGAATTATAGTACACACCAAACAGCCAGTTTGTTTGCTTGCGTGTTGTTATTTGTTGCCTTATATTTTATCACATTCTTTCCCTTTTCCTCCCAATTCATCTCACCTCCCTCCCTAACCTCCCCTCTCTCTCTCTCCTCTTCTCTTGTCTCTCTCTCTCCCTCTCTCGCTCTCCCTCTCTCTCCCCCCCTCTCTCTCTCGATCAAAATGTCAATAAATGAACAAATAAAAAATCCTAAAATATCTTTAAAATATCAAAATAAAACAAACAAAAACATTTGCATTGACCAAGTACTCATGGGTATGTGGCCTGCCCTGGAGTGGGATTGACAGACCCAATGTCACTCCGTTAGAGAAAAATGACTCTCCTTCTCCTAACAGAGAATAATCTCCAACTGCAAATAATTTCTTGGCTAGCAGTGGGGCTTTGTGCTTGATTTCCTTCTCCGCACTGGGGTTTGGTCTGACTTGAACTTGTGAGGCCCTGTGTGTGTTGTCACAGTCCGAGTTCACATGTGTGTCAGACCCATTATGTCAGGAAGAAACTGTTTCTTTGGAGTCATCCGTCACCTCTGACTCTTCCAATCTTTCTGTCTTCTTTTCCTCGTAGGTCCTGAACCTTGAACAGACGGCTTTGATAAGGACATCCCATTTTGGGCTGAGTGCTCCAAAGTCTTTCACTCTGCATTGTCCCGTTGTGAGTTTCTGTGTTAACACCTACTTCAGGAAGTGGCTTTTCTGAAGGACCAAACAATGCACTAATCTATACCCATCTTTTTTATATGGGTAGTAGGGATCAGACTCAGGTCATACAAGCCAGTCTCCCCAGGTCCTTGTTTTATTTTTTTAACAAATATTTGAAGAGTCCTCTAATTTCTAAATAGCCCATTTCCTGTTCATCTTTCATGCCGTCCAAAGTGACTGAGGGCTGGTTCCCATATGAAAACTAAGCACAGCCGCTTATACCTATGACCTCAAGGCTGAGGAGGTGGAGAGAGATCAACCCTAGAAACTCTATAGCCAGCCAGTCTAGCCCAATCAGAGAGCTCTAGGTTCAGTGAGACCCTGTCCCAAAACCTAAGGTGTAAAGTCATTTAGCAAGCCACCCAACACTGACCTCCGGCTCCCACATGCACACGCACACATGAGCAGACACAGGCACATATAAAGGAGAAAGAAAAAAATAACAAATTATTGTAAAGTTCATTCTACTGGTAAACTATCTTTGCTTACTACTGTTTGAGCCGAGAAGCTGGCTCTGAAAGTGGGACTGCACTATACTCCCTTTTCTTTCTTTTTCTTTTTTTTTTTTTTTTAACGAGACAGGGTTTCTCTGTATTGTTTTGGAGGCTATCGGTCCAGCCTGGCCTCGAACTCACAGAGATCCGCCTGCCTCTGCCTCCCGAGTGCTGGGATTAAAGGCATGCGCCACCACCGCCCGGCTATACTCCCTTTTCAGACCCTCATGTTTGTCTAAAGCATCCTTTGTGGCCGCATATCTATAACATAACAGCACATGCAACAGGCAAGAGTAAGATCAGTTAAAAATAAACACTTTGCAGCAGACGTGACCAGCATCCGGTCCATTTGAAGACAGAAAAGTGACTCTAGCAGCAAAGAGCCAGAAGAGATGCTCGGCTGTGGGACCAGTCAGAGAAAGCGCAATGGGGAACTCCAGCCGACTGCTTTAACTTCCAGCGTGTCTGAGGGTGCTGTGAACACCAGACTTAAAATGCCACCCCACCCCCTCCCAAGAGTAGCGAGCCTCTGAGTCTCGGCCTCAACATCTGTGACCTGAACGAAACTTCCCTTACAGATACTCTTAAGCATTAGTGAGTTGGCTGGATAGCGGTGGCGTACACCTGTAATCCCAACACTCGGGAGGCAGAGACAGGCAGAGCTCTTTGAGTTTGACGCCAGCCTGGTCTACAAACCAAGTTCTAGGACAGCTACACAGAGAAACCCTGTCTCAAAAAAAAAGAAAGAAAGAAAGAAAGAAAGAAAGAAAGAAAGAAAGAAAGAAAGAAAGAAAGAAAGAAAGAAAGAGCGAGTTAGGAGCTGGCGATGAAGAGATGGTTCAGAGGCTGAGAGCTTGTACGGCTCTTGCAAGAAGGACCTGAGGGTAACTCCTGGATGGGTATCAGGTGGCTCACAACTGCCTGTAACTCCAGCTCCAGGGGATCCATCCCTCTGTCACCTCTTATTCAAGCATACACAAGCACACGTAACTGAAACAATAATACTCCAGGCATGGTGGCACACATCTTTAATTGTAGCACTCAGGCAGGTGGATGTTTGTGAGTTCAAGACGAGCCTGACCTACCTAGCAAGTTCCAGGCCAGTCAGGGCTACGTAGTAAGACCTTATCTCAGAACTAAGATGAAATAAAAGTAAGTCTTAAAAGGAAAAGAATTGGTGAGTTTCTTCTTCTGAAGTGACAGTGTATCTCTAACACCTAAATTACCAAGTAAGTGGGATTCTTACTGCAGGTAACAGGAAAAGCTGACAATGTGTTACCATTTTTTTTCTTCCTATGTAGTCCCAAACTGGCTTCAAATTTATAATATTCTTGCTTCCACTTCCTTAGGGCTGGATTTAAAGGCATGTGCCACCATGACCAGTAATTTATGTGCATGTGTTTGTGTGAAGACCAGCAGTTCACGTCAGGTGTCGTCATCTATCATTCTCCATGTCATCTTCAGAGACAGGGTCTCTCAATAAATCCAGAGCTCACTGATTGGCTAGAAGGCTAGCCAGTAAACTCTGGGAGCTGTCCTTTCTCCAAGGTCCCAGTTCTATGAATACAAATGTCTATAGCCAGGCTCAGCTTTCCCATGGATGCCAAGGATCTGATCTCAGATTTCCATGCTTGCAGTCACCCTCAAATAATTTAAAAACACAACAGAAGTCACAACGAAACATAGTTTAAGGTTAATGATCATTTAATATTTTAACAAGTTCACTTATAAACATACATACCATTTGTGCACACAGGGAGAACATAGGCTCTGTAGACATAACAGAATAACAGAAGCACAAAAGCAATCACAAAGAAAATTGCCTGTGTCCTCTGCTTTCATCTACATGAACTAGAAGGCAAAATGAAAGGATACATAGGAGCAACAACACAGGTAGAAAAGAAGTCTGGATCATCCTGTCTCAACCACAGGAACTTCCCACACTTCAGAAGGCTCCTGTGGGAACTGAGGATCTAAAATACGCAAAGCTTGGGCCTCCTTGACAAGTGCTGATCTGAGATATGAACCTCAGGCTTCCCTCTTTCATACGGAAAGTTGTTAACTCAAAGAACTAAGAGAGCGATAAAATCAGCCACACAGTGTCAGCAGCCGATGTCTTCCAGCCTTGGGTCATTATTTAAAAGTATCCACGGAAGGGAAATGCTCCTCAGTCCTGAACAAGCAGTTCCCTCCAACTCATGAATCTCATGACTGACCTGAGGCACAAAATGACTCGGCTGAAGCAATAAAAGGACAGCATCTACAAGGACAGGGGCCAAGGAAATGAAATGCCTGAGTCCATCTTCACACCCAGAGTGCATTTCATTCCAGAATCAAGCAACTGGTGGCAAGATATGATCAGGCTCAACTATGGCTGCCTGTTAAAGCTAGTCCCACTGGGGTCAAGGTCTAGGCACGGCACACCCGTGGGATTACAGGAGATAATTCAGTAGCACTTCAGGGGCATGACTTAATACTTTCTGGTTCTAGGAATCCCAGTAATTAATATCCTTGTGCATCACTGAAAACTGATTTTAATGTTTTGTAAGTAAAGCATGGAGCTTTAAGAATGATAACATTGTAAAAAGTCATTTTTACAACACAGGACATAAAATCAACATTACCTTTATTAAGGTGACACTACAAACCATCAGAACCATGTTGTCACATAGCCATCTTACCAGAGATGACAAAGCAAATTTCAGCCAGAAATCAGCAGCGCTGTGTCAACAAGTCCCCAAGGAGTAGCTAGAAAAACACCTCGGGCACCATCACATCTACTTGGCAACCGTCTCACATGGAGATATGTTCAAGACTTGAACTGACGAAGAAAAAGCGGCCAAGCAGTGTAGCAAGGCAGCACGCACGCGCTGGGCTGGGCACATTCCCAGTGTGCTTACTGGGGGCGCTCTGGAGAAACGGGACTAAGAGCAGGGAGCAGCGCCTTCACCGCGCTGCCCACCGCTGTGAAAGGGCACTGTTTCAAACATGCCAGCCACAAAGCTGGCAACGGGAGCTTTAAACATGAATGAACAGAAGGTTGGCATACATGGAACATGTGCTTTCTAATGCTAGAAATACAGTTGGTTTTTTCTCAGAAAACAGGACTATGGGTTTCCCAGAGCATCACACATCTGGGGACCAGAAATAGTTTAGGCTTTTCTATCATGAGCGGGTCATGAATAAAAACGAGGCTGGATTCCCCACTAATACGAGGGATTAAAACAAACTCCCCAAGACTCTACCCTATCTCGCTTCTCACTCAGGACTTAAATCGTCTCCACCCAGCTCTGGTTTATCCCCACACTCTGGACAGCCACGGGGCCCGACCAGGGCTAAAGACAAGCCTCCCCAGGAGTTAAAGAGTGCCCTTGTACAGCTTGGGCCCCAGAAGGCCCGAGACAGGGACATTATGCTAAAGCTCTCCCCCATCCCCCTCACCGCACTTCCTTTACAAGTAGAAAAATAGGCTACAGACAGACTGAGCTGGCAACCGACAGACCCAAAGCCAGCTCGGAAACACATCCCTGGGCAGACTCCAGCCTGCCTCCACCCATTTGCCACTCACTAGTCTTCACTGGGCAAGGTTTAAAGGTGAAGCCTCAAGTTCTGAGGCTCAAATCAATCCCTAACTTGAGACTATTTCCACTTATTCCCGGGAAAAGCAAACAGAAGGATAACAAGAGACTAAAGCTGGGCGGATTCCTGCAGAATAATTTCTAAAGGGAAGGAGTGTCCGTTCTCATCCTGAGCAGTCAATCTTGTAGGTAGGTACCCGGGAGCTACTGAGGGCGGATACCAGGGTTCTCACACCACTGCCCTGCCTGCTGGAGCCACCAGCCACAGCTCTAGGTCTACAGTGAGATTTCACAGTTAAAGTAAAAGAAGTTGAATTCTTCTTACCACACTCAGTCACATCCTCCTCTATCAGATTAGTATTGGCATAGCAGGGAAAGTCATCCCTTAACTAAGTACTGTACCTAACTCAACAGGAAATGCCCTTTTAAACGGGAGTGTTTACACAAGGTGGTCCAAGAGCTCCCCAGGGAAGACCTGCTGCAAACCAGTACCCCAGGAGCTCGGCTCTCATTCACAGCATACCTCCAGGCCTTCTCTGTGGTGCCATGCAGGTCAGTCACAATCACCAGATTACCATCTTCAAAAGAACTATTTAAATTATTATGAAAGACACGTGTCACAAACAGAAATGTCCTGAAGATCGACTATTGCACACAGGACTAACAGAAGCGATGCACAGAACACCCTGAAGGCTCTAGAAGACCCAGAACAGAGACCCCAGAGCCATGCCTGTGGCTGCCCCAGCAAGCATGCCCAGGGCCAGGTCACTGTCATTGTCTCGGTACCGCTCACGGATGATGACTTGATTGGCAGGCTGCTGTCCATAAACTCCTATTAAAAAAAAGAAAAAAGAAAAAGAGATCTTTAAGATGTAAACTGGAAATCTGACAATCATTGAAAAGACAATGCTGTTTCAGGATATCTGATCACACTCTGTGAAGATGCATCTGTTCTTCCTCACCTGCCTATGGCACCTTCTGATTGGTTTAATAAAGAGGTGAATGGCCAACAGCTAGGCAGGAGAGGACAGGCGGGACTTACAGGGAAAGAGAGGAACTGGGGTGGGGGTCTGAGAGGCAGGGATTTGTGAGTGAGATGCAAAGTCTGATGTTCCGTACTGTACTAAGGATGGGCAACGAGCCACACCAGGATGTAGTTTAATACAAATGGGTTAATTCAAGTTTTAAGAGCTAGTTAGGAACAAGCCTAAGCTAAGGAACTTTCATAATTAATAATAAGTCTCCATGTCACTATCTGGGAGCTGGCGGTCCAATGAAAGTCTGGCTATGTGATGCCCTTCACACGAACACTGTACCCAGTCTCCATGTAACCTGCTTGTGCACTAGTTGGCCCTTGAGGACCTATGGAAAGGTGTTAACAGGTGGCTCCAATGAGTTCAACCCAAACCTTTCTAAGACCCATCACACGTATGCTGAGGAAGACACTGTTGCACTTCATACAATATGAGACGTGAGGGTCTGGAGACGTGGCTTGCTTAGTGATTAAGTCTTGCACTTACAGAGGACCTGGCATCCACATGGTACAGCTAAGCATCCACAACTGGCTTCAGGGGATCCAGTGCCCTCACCCTCTTCTGATTTCTGCAAGCATCAGGCATGTACTTGACACACACACACACACACACACACACACACACACACTAAATAAATAAATAAATAAATAAATAAATAAATAAATCTAAAAAATTTATTTTAAAAGATGATCCATGAGACCTGGATGGTGGTATACACCTTTAATCCCAGCACATGGAAGGCAGGGAGAGGAAGATATCTGTGAATGCGAAGTCAGCCTGGTCTACAAGGTAAGATTCAGGCCAGCTTGGTCTACACAGTGAGACCCTATCTAAAAGTCAGAAGGATGGTACATGCCTGTAGAGAGCAAGCTAAACATCCTTCAGGAGAATTTCATTAGATCAGTGTGGTGCTTGCAATGAGAATGGCTCCCATAGGTTCTCATGTTCAAATACTCCATCCCCCAGTTGGTTCCCCAGTTGAACTGTTTGGGAAGAATTAGAAGGTGTGACCTTGTTGGATGGAGTAGATGTGTCACCAGGGCAGGGATTTGAGATATCAAAAGTCCACACCATTCCCAATTAGCTCTGTCTCTCTGGCTCCTGCTTATGGATAAGAGTGTAAACTCTCAGCTTCTGCTCCGCGCCTGCCTCTATCCTTCCATGATAGTCATGGACTGACCTTCTGAAACCACAGGATCAATAAACTCTTCTATATAGGTTGCCTTGGTCATGGTGCTTCAACACAGCAACAGAAAAGTAACTAAGACAAATATAGCAACATGACCACTGGGGAGAATGCCTTCAGGGAGTTTCTTACTCATAGGTTTCCACGGGGCTGGGGGAATCCATACAATGTGACCGAGCCACGAAGGTGCTAATACCGAAGAGCAAAAACTGAAAGCTGCCTTGGATTTGGAGGGAGGCAAGCTTTCAGCTGCCAGCAGGAGGAAAGCACTCAACTGTCTGGAAGAATTACAAGGTCACAACTCAGGCTTCGTATCAATACTGCAGAGAGAGCTGCAGGGGTGTGGCCTCTGAGCAGACTGAGGCGGGCAGCTAGAGGACCTGAAACCTTATACACACCACTCTCTAAGAACTCACTGACAGATAGGGTCCTCTGCTTGCCAGGGCCAAATCCCTTAACAGTGCAAAGATCAGAGCACTGATAAACAGAGCCAAATCCTACATAATAAAGCTACGGAGGTCTGCCTCTGGTTTCCATGGCAGCCCTCCCCACCATGCCTGCTGGGATGACAGACAAATGGGAAGAACGTGGGAGAAACAGGGCAAAGCCTGAAGAGAGATGAATCAGCAGCCAAGCATGGTGGCTCGTACCTGTAACCCAGCCCTTGGTGGTTTACGACAGCTGCACCAGTTACGCACCATGTAATGTCAAGACAGGTCTCTCCTAGGGATTAATTTTTTTTTTTTGAAGAGTCGCTGCCCTGACTTTGCTACAGACTTTTGACTATAGTCATGCCTAACCTAAAATATTAAAAAAGAGGATTCTCATTCACAGTGTGAGGTACATACACCTTCCTTTCAATACCCCAAGCCCCAAAGCACAGCCACTTCTTCAACAGATATACACTAAAGGAGAAACCCACTGAGGAGATCTCAGAACTTCAAAGGTCCCAACATCAAAGATATCATCAAAGAGTGCAAAGAATGCAGTGTGTATACACTTGGTGCCAGAACTAAGTAGCCCAGAAGCACTGAAAGATACCATCTTCATGTCCTTAATCTACAATCAAGAATGTCATACTCTTATGATTTTGCATAATGAATTATGCAAGCTCCAAGAAGCCCAGAAGAGCATCTGGGGAAAATCGTCTCATCCAAATTGCTAAACTGCGTCACATGAAGCTGCAAATGTGCCTGCCTGTGCTGTGCCTGGAGAATTCTGAGCTATACTTCCTCCCACAGCACCGTGGCCATCCATGCATCCTGTGCCGCCTCCTCCACTCCCCTTCCCACTGCCTCCCCTCTGCCCCCTCACCCCATTTCCTTCTCTGCTTCTACTTCCTCCTCCACCTCCTCCTCCACCAGTCCTACCGGCCATACTGCTCCAACAATATAGTCCCATCAAAGCACAGCAGGCTGGACCATTCACAAAACACCAAATAGCAAATCCCAATCCCACAGTTCAGACTTAGATGGCTCTGCCCCTCCAGCTTTGCTGCCTGTAAGATCTCTCTCTCCTCTCTCTGTCTCTCTGTGTCTGTCTGTCTGTCTCTGTCTCTGTCTCTCCCCCCCCAGTCTGATTCCACTCTCTGTCTGTGTGCAGCTCTCCTCAGCAGATGTGTCGGCAGATGTCTTTGGCATCTCCAACATCCTAGGGTCTCCAACTTAGGCTTCACTTCCACAGCTTCTCACAATGGCCTCTCAGGGTCTCCAAGCAATGACTTCCTTCCCATATGCTTGGCTTTAGTGGCTCTCTGTAACCATGGGAGAAGATTCGATGGCCTCTTTACTCTAAAGCCAGCACCATGAGGATGCGTCTGCGTTGGGCTGTCAACTAGAGAAGGAATCTAGCCTCCTAGAGTGACATTTTCAGTAGCTTTTGTTTGCTCCTTACCAGCTGGTGGAGTCTTGCCCTAAGGCACCCTTCCCTTTATTCCAGTGTGGATCTGGCTGGCCACTCTAGTCTTCTTATCTCTTTCAGCACAAGCCTTGGTTGCAACATTAAGTTTCCTGGTGCTCCTTTTCTTTTGAAACTGTATTCTGTATTTCTTTCTGCTCTTCCTGCCCTTTTCCACTGTAGACCTGTGTAAGAGTGATCACTAACAACCGTGTGATGCAGTCCATATTGAGCTGTCTTGAAATCTTTTCTGACAAAATGATTTGGGGGGTCTCCAATAGAAAATGCAGCTCACTTAACTTCAAACTAAAAAACAAGGAGCCCTCCTTGCCCCCCCCCCACTGCAGGCAGAGAGCAGGAGCAGCAGCCAGCATGAGTTACCTGCATATGGGTACTGGTATGGCACTGCATAGGCCTGCCCATTGGCAGCATAGACAACTTGAGTTCCTGCTGGGTATGCGCCACTGTATGGACCATAGCCATAGACCTGAAAAACAGAGAAAGTCCTGTGAGAAATACAATTCTGAGGGGCTGGTGATACGGCTCCGTGGGTAAAGGCGCTTGCCACCAAGTCCAATGACATGTATTCCATCCTGAAACTCACTCTAGAAGGAACGAATAAGTCCTAAAACTCGTTCTCTGACCAGGAGCAGAGGTGTTTGGGGATGGAGTGGGGTGGCATACATGGGAGGTATTGGGGAGAGAAAGGGAGGGAGAAAAATGATGTGATTATATTTTAATTTACATACATTCACATACACACATATATACATACATACATACATACAAACATCGTGTCTGCTGACCTCTACAGACATGCTATAGCGTGTCCTAGATTGGATAATGGAGATGCTAGTAACTCATAAATCCCGATGAGTACAAATGAAAAAGAAAAAAAAAAAAAAAAAAAGAAAACCCCAGGATGGAGCTGAAGAGTAAGAGTATTGGCTGCTCTTCCAGAGGACCTGAGTTCAGTTCCCAACACCCACAAGGCAGCTCACAACTGGGGGATCTGATGCCAATGCACATAAAATAAAAATTAAATAATGTTTTTTTTAAAGGCCTCAGGAAAAGTCTGCTTTCTCTACCCAAAGAACCAAAGAAAGGACAGCCTAGCAAGAGGGAGTGTTTTCAGACAATAACTCCTCCATCCAAGCAGACACATAAGAACCACCTTTAAGAACAACCTATTCCTATCACCAAAGGCCAGAGCCTGCCCTGTTCCCTTAAAGTACAGCCAGAAAAGGATGGGCAAGGAGCAGGCGACTTCATCTCTGTCAGATGACAAGACACCTGCCTGCCAGGCAGCAGACCACGGAGTGAGCCACAAAGTCCTCCATGGCCGAGTAGAAGCAATCTGCCCCTCTCATCCCCCTGGAATCAACAAAAGTCTGGTGGGGAGTGAGTTCACTCACCGGAAGCCAGGCCTCTGTCTGTGGAGATGCCGGAGCAGTAACAGGGAGTCCTCTCCTTGAAGCAAGGTGCTCTATCTAAGAGAACCTAAACTCCTGAGCTGGAACCCAGACCTGGCTGTGGGCTGAGAAACTGGACTTCTACTCCCACCTGGCAGGAGATCCACCCAAACACATGATTAAAATAAAGCTCAGAGTCTCACAGTGTTTCAAATGTCAAGGTTCTGATCAAAACAAGTCATTCTTCACACAAATAGCCAAGATCTCCAACAGAGTGACGACAGAAAGCACCCATGCTGAGGTGGCAGAGATGTCCGTGTGAGGGCTGGGGTGCAGCTCAGTGGACAGAGTTTGCTAGGTGTGGGAGAAAAGCCAGATTCCATTCCAGCACCTCAGGGGAAAGATGCTAGAATTATCCAGAAAGGATTTGTATGTTGGGTTCTGGTATATGGATGTCTATGTACAATGTATGGGTGTCAATGCCAACATACATGTGTGGAAGGTATACGTGCCTGTGCATGCATTCAGAGGCAAGAAGAGGACGATGGAAGCTCTGCTCCATCTCTCCCCACACCTTATTCTCTTGAGACAGAGTCTCTCCTGAACAAGATCTTTTTGTTGTTGTTGTTTTGCAAGTCTACTTGTTGGCCTAGAAATCTTTATGCTGGCCTCAAACTCACAGAGATCCATGTGGTTCTGCCTTCTGAGTACTGAGAGTAAAGGTGTGTACTACCACACTCGGCTCTGGAGTTGTTGTTTTTTTTGTTTTTTTTTAAGTTTTATTTATTATGTATACATATACAGTGTTCTGCCTGCATGTATGCCTGCGGGCCAGAAGAGGGCACCAGATCTCATTATAGATGGCCGTGAACCACCATGCGATTGCTGGGAATAGAACTCAGGACCTCTGGAAGAGCAGCCAGTGCTCTTCACAACTGAGTCATCTCTCCAGCTCCATAGAAAGAGTTTTAAAGTAACTATTATAAAAATGTTTTAGTTAGTAATTATGAAATGAATATAGGTTATGCAAAAAATGCCACCCAAAATTAAAAATTATTAAAAAATCGGTATAAGATATATTCATATTTTTGTATATTAAAACATAAAGAATTCAAATTTTAGCCAAGTGGTGGTGGCATATGCCTTCAGCACTAGGGAGGAAGAGGCAGGTGGCTCTTTGTGAGTTTGAGGCCAGCCTGATCTACAAAGCTAGTTCCAGGACAGCCAGAGCTGTTACACAGAGAAACTCTGTCTGGAAATCCCACCCCATCCCATAAGAAAACATAAAGAATACAAATTTTAAAACAGGACATGATGCTACCTACACACCTGTAATCCCGGAACTTGGGAAGTTCAGGGAAAATGACCAAGAGTTTACAGAATATAACCACTTGAAAATAATGAAACACTTAGAAATCTAACAAACATGTATAAAACTACTATGCTGAAAACTGTAAACCACTGACAAAAAAAACCAAGAATAAAGGCAAAGAGGAGACAGACAGAGAGGCGCACAAAGCTCAGGGAAGGAAACTTTACTTCTCTCTGATCTCTCTGATCTCTCTGATCTCTCTGATCTCTCTGATCTCTCTGATCTCTCTGATCTCTCTGATCTCTCTGATCTCTCTGATCTCTCTGATCTCTCTGATCTCTCTGATCTCTCTGATCTCTCTGATCTCTCTGATCTCTCTGATCTCTCTGATCTCTCTGATCTCTGTGATCTCTCTGATCTCTGTGATCTCTCTGATCTCTCTGATCTCTCTGATCTCTCTGATCTCTCTGATCTCTCTGATCTCTCTGATCTCTCTGATCTCTCTGATCTCTCTGATCTCTCTGATCTCTCTGATCTCTCTGATCTCTCTGATCTCTCTGATCTCTCTGATCTCTCTGATCTCTCTGATCTCTCTGATCTCTCTGATCTCTGTGATCTCTCTGATCTCTGTGATCTCTCTGATCTCTGATCTCTCTGATCTCTCTGATCTCTGTGATCTCTGATCTCTGATCTCTGTGATCTCTCTGATCTCTCTGATCTCTCTGATCTCTCTGATCTCTCTGATCTCTCTGATCTCTGTGATCTCTCTGATCTCTCTGATCTCTCTGATCTCTGATCTCTCTGATCTCTCTGATCTCTCTGATCTCTCTGATCTCTGTGATCTCTCGATCTCTCTGATCTCTCTGATCTCTCTGATCTCTCTGATCTCTCTGATCTCTCTGATCTCTCTGATCTCTCTGATCTCTGATCTCTGATCTCTCTGATCTCTCTGATCTCTCTGATCTCTCTGATCTCTCTGATCTCTCTGATCTCTCTGATCTCTCTGATCTCTGATCTCTGATCTCTCTGATCTCTCTGATCTCTCTGATCTCTCTGATCTCTCTGATCTCTCTGATCTCTCTGATCTCTCTGATCTCTCTGATCTCTCTGATCTCTCTGATCTCTCTGATCTCTCTGATCTCTCTGATCTCTCTGATCTCTCTGATCTCTCTGATCTCTCTGATCTCTCTGATCTCTCTGATCTCTCTGATCTCTGTGATCTCTCTGATCTCTCTGATCTCTCTGATCTCTCTGATCTCTCTGATCTCTCTGATCTCTCTGATCTCTCTGATCTCTCTGATCTCTCTGATCTCTCTGATCTCTCTGATCTCTCTGATCTCTCTGATCTCTCTGATCTCTCTGATCTCTCTGATCTCTGATCTCTCTGATCTCTCTGATCTCTCTGATCTCTCTGATCTCTCTGATCTCTCTGATCTCTCTGATCTCTCTGATCTCTCTGATCTCTCTGATCTCTCTGATCTCTCTGATCTCTCTGATCTCTCTGATCTCTCTGATCTCTCTGATCTCTCTGATCTCTCTGATCTCTCTGATCTCTCTGATCTCTCTGATCTCTCTGATCCATTGGCTTACAGGAGCTTTTGTCAAAAACCTTGCAGGATTTTGCAGTAAACACAGATGAACGGCTTCAGGCCAGGCCAGATGCCTCAGCAGATAAAGGTGTTTGTCTCTAAGCCCAATGACCTGAGTCTAATCTGTAGGACTCACACAGTGGAAGGAGAGAACCAACTTCTACAGTTGTCCTCTGACCTCTGCGTGTGAACTGTGGCATGCAGGTACTACTCACACTCACACACCCTCTCACACATACTCACACACTAATATTCATATACACAAATAAGCGTGTTTATTAATAAATAAATCTATAAACAGTGGGTGGGATATCTCAGTGGAAAAGAACTTGCCTAGCAGGTGTGAAGCTTTGAGTCCGATCTCCATCACTTTACAGACAAAATATCTGAACATGAAAACACACACACACACACACACACACACACACACAGGGATTTTTGTTTACTGAGAAGCAGAGTTTCTAGCTTAAGCCGGCCTCCTATGTAGCCAACAACGATCTTGATCTCCTGACTGTCCTGTCTCCACCTCCTAAGCGCCGAGAGCCCAGGTACGTGTTGCTACCCCCAGCTTATGTAGTGCTGGGGACTGAACCAGGGTCTCCAGCTTTCGGCCATCTCTAATAGTTGCTTTATTTCATCTAACAAAGAACAATTTAGAGTGTAGTTCTAATTTCCCTGATACTGACTCAGGATTAAGAATGAAACCGCAACCCAAGACAAAAATGGCAAAGCAGCAGACCACCCGGCTTCCCCACGAGCACGTTCTCTGCTCCCTACCTCAGGGGTCGGTGCAGCGTAGGCAGCATAGGGGGGAGGCGAGGCAGCCACGGCAGTCTCTTCAGACAGTATCGCTGAGCCAACGTAAGCCTGTGTGAGAAGGAGGGTGAGGATCAACAGCACATTTACGCAGCACACCAAAGATCATCAGGCTTCATCTCTCTGAGAAGGAAGGGCCTCGCCTGCTGGTTTGGGGCAGCTTCCAGCCTCACAGAAACACCCTCAGAGTGCAGCAGCAAGGTGGCTAGTCCTGGCTTAGCCTCCCACCATGGCGGAGCAAGCGCCCCTGGCCTAGGACGATGCCAGGGGCTTCAGTGCTGTCCAATGCCATTTAGACCAAGAGTCCCCTCTCTTATCAGTCCATTGGGCCATAGTCAGAAGGGCACCATGAGCATGCTCTTCCTGAAGTTCAAAAGTTACACTCCAGTGAAAAGGAAAAAAATAATAGCTCTTTTTAAAAACTCCACACAAAGAACTGCACTGGGATTTTGCTGACTATATGGACCAGCAACATCGTTTCATGGGTGTGGGTGCGGGTGGCTGTTCACAACAGACAGACAACTGGAGTCTGCAGTGAGCTTACAGGAACGGATTCTCAGGCTGAAGGAGCAGAGGACTGAGGTTCGTGACTTCATTTGCATCTGCACCAATTGTTCTGTAAGCCTTATCTACTTTCTTTTCTTCCTTCAAAGATATTGCAAAAGAACAAAATAGAGAGCCCCATCTAAGAATGAAAATGTTGGCCACAAAGGTCTTGGGCACAAGGGGACTCTGCCAGGGTTACCACAGGGTTTATGGTTTCTGTATCTCCTGAGGTCAGAAATAGAATTAGGGACAAGGACAAGAAGGTTTGGGTTTCATAAGAGGCTGAGATCTTATGGATAAAGTGGGCACCAGGGTTCTCTTTGAACCTTTACTTCAAAATACAGCAAAATCCAAGGTGATGCAAAGACGGAAAAAGGTGACCAACAGCAGGAACTGCCACAGCAGGAGGGAGGTGTCTCGGCTACTTTCTCACTACTCTGATGAAATAACCAAATGAGAACAACTCAGAGGAGAAAGAATGTGTCCTGGCTTCCGGTTCTACAGGGAAACAGTCCATCACGGCGGAGGAAGGCGTGGGAGCCAGTGTAACAAGGAGGCAACGGACACATGGCATCCTGCATCAGGACTGAATAGGAAGTGAAGACAGACTCCCACCAAAATCTAGCATGATCACTGTCAGCGAGGGGCATCCTGCCCTGAGCAGTTCACGGAGTCGTGCACGGACAGGAGATCCCGCCCCTCCCAGTCCCTTCTTCCCACCTCCTGTTCTCCACTTTGCTACACAGACCCAGGATACACAAACAGGACTTGAAGCACCATGGGCAACTTACCGTGTTTGTTCTGGAATCCTGCAGTGTAAACTTCCATGCCCTAGAGAAAATAAAAACAGGGTACTCTGAGGTTATCCAACATTCTAACGAGTCTGAAATCCTGGCTGGCATCAGCATTCCTGACAAGGCTTGTTTATAGAGAGACATCTAGCCTGTCATCCCAGTACTCAGGAGACTTAACCAGGGGGACCACTACCATGAGCTGAGGCAAACATGTGTTGCAGACTAAGACCCTATCTCCTACCACCCCACCAACGCCACAATAAATAAAATGAAGCAAAACTTCAGGCCTTACCCCAAGACCCACAAATCAACTCCTGCTCAAGACACGAAGGAAGAAAACATGTATACTTAAAGAAAGGATACATAAAGCAAGCATCATGATTGCTGGGTGGTACTATGCCACTCTGCATCCCCACTGGCAGTGAACTGGGTGTCAGTGCCATCTCTTCACTGGCTTTTGTTGCCGTCCATGTCCTGGATTCTGACAGGCTTGCCTTGGCATTTTATTGTTTTCATCTGACATTCCCTAGTGATGCATGGAGCACCTTTTCCTATGATTATTTACCAGATATATGTCTTGAAATATCATCTTTTGGGTCTTTTTCTCATTTTAAAAGTTTGGGTTCTTAATTTTTCTTACCATCTAATTTTAATGTTGCTCATTTTTTATGACAATCCCTTATCAGATATGAATTTTGCAAACACTTTGGCCAGTCTGGATTTTAGCAGAAAATACATACTAATTATATTAAAGTAACATCTGAAGGCTGGATGCTATTCTGTAAAGACATCTAATAAATATTCCACTGAGTTAAAAGAAAGAAAGAATTTATATTCTATACCACTGAAAGCATAATGGACAGCTTTTAATATTTTCTTCTCATTAACACATGTGAAATATGCTGTAAGCTGTTTTATCAGCAGCCAGCACGGCTGGAAACCTACTGTGTAATCCATGCTGACCCCAAATTCAAGATCCTCCCATCTCAGCCTACAGAGTATGGGAATTCAGGTGTATGCCAACACACTTAGTCTCTATTTCATTTTTCATGGCTATTCTATGTTCTATGATTCGAAGAGATTTCAACTTTCTTAGTTAGGGTTACTATCGCTGTGATGAAACTCCATGACCAAAAGACACTTGGGGGAGGAAAGGGTTTATTTCCATATAACAGTTTAGCATCAAAAGCAGGTAGGACAAAACTCAAGCGGGGCAGGAACCTGGAGCAGGAGCTGATGCAGAGACCATGGAGGATGGTAGCTTTTCTCAAGTGAGGCTCCCTCCCACTCGGTGTCGAGCAATAAAACCAGCCAGCACACTGGTGGTGGAAGTCATGCTGTCACCCTTGGGAACAGCACATAGGTGTGTTGCAAATGGAGGGCAAGGTTCTTTGGAGAATCCCATCCATTTGGCTAGAACCTATGGATACAATACTGCAAACTCCTGCATTGACCTTAGGGAGCCCATGGGCTTCAGGCTTCTCTAGCTTTTTGCTATGCCTGAGCTTACTGGGAACAAAAGCCTCTACAGAAAAACTAAATTTCTCTGATCTGTTACAGAAACCAGTTTCTCCAGTCATCCCTGGCTGCCTTTGTAGTCATCCTGAGGAAGCAGGAAGAACTCACTAAGGTTAATGATTATTGCTTATTCAATTCCAAAAAGAGATAAATATATTCCAAAGAACTTAGGAACAAAGAAAACGGTTTCTTAAAAGATGACATTTAAAACCCTATAGGAACACAGAAGGAAAAAGAGATAGGACACAAAAGGTCAGTCATTTCTCTGGCACTAGGACATGAACATTCAATATTTTTCCAGTATCAAATTATCAATAAAGGAGTCTAAAACTCCTAGTTCCTCTTAAAGAAATACATTTAGAAATTGCCAGGAAGCATAAAGAAACTTAGTCTCAATAGTTAAACAGTTAGGTATTAATCATTAGTGTTTTGAGAACTTATAAAGAATAGGATTATAACTGCAATCCACAAAATAAAGGTGATATGCAGATTACTCAGAAACTGGTATACACCTGAAAATGATACTCTGGGCATCACAATATATTCACCTGATCCCGTGTTGTTCAGAATTAATCATGGGACTTAAATCTCTTACTTTGTAACTGCATGTTTGCTGCCGGCTAGGGCACGGTATGAGTAAGATGTACCTAGCTAGATATAAACATTTGGCTTGCTATATAATGATATGGAGTAAAGGTCAATGACGTCAAGGGAGTGGGAAAGAAGAGAAACTAAAATGAATAAGTGTTAATGGTTCCTGGAAAGTGATTAGAGAGAAATTATTTGAAACTGCTCATGCTTGAATGTATTGGAACTTGTATACATAAAGATGGCCTGAGCTAGCCAAGGCCATCAGTTTGAAAGACAACCAACCTTTTTCGCAGATTTCACACATAACTTCCTGTGGCATAAGAACCCCTCTTGGGCCGGGCGGTGGTGGCGCACGCCTTTAATCCCAGCACTCGGGAGGCAGAGGCAGGCGGATCTCTGTGAGTTCGAGGCCAGCCTGGTCTACAAAGTGAGTTCCAGGACAGCATCCAAAGCCACAGAGAAACCCTGCCTCGAAAAACCAAAAAAAAAAAAAAAAAAAAAAAAAGAACCCCTCTTGGAACTGGACTCCAGCACACTGGCAACATTTTTACCATCCGTAAGAATGCTCCCTGCTACCTCTGTGCCCCTTTTTTGTTTTTGAACTCCTGGGCCTCCCACTCCTACCTCCCAAGTGTTGAGATGACCCCAGCATAGCTTGCTTCCCTAGTAGCTTCTGTAAGTATTTCTAGAGGATGATTCCTAATGATGTGTTTAGCCATAGAATGCATCCACTGGATGGATGGATGGATGGATGGATGGATGGATGGATGGATGGATGGATGGATGGATGGATGGATGGATGGATGGACAGAGAGATAAATAGATGCTTGCACTTCACTTGAGAGTTGGAGAAGACAATCCGTATTTATTTCCCCATCTTTCCTCAGAAGTCTCTGTACTGGACTGAATTACGGGCCTTCAAAAGGTGTGCTTGAAGTTATGGTTCCCAGCACCGTTGAGTGTGATTCACCAGGACATAGGGTTTTTACACATGAAATCAAATGAAAATGGGGTCAAACTTTAAGGTCCTCAGTCCAACACGACTGATGTGGGCACAGATCCAACAGGAGAAGGCTATGTGACAACAGAGGCACACATACATACACATTTTAATTTTAATAAAACTTTAAAAATAAATCCTATGAAGGTTTATCCAGGCATTGTGACACATACCTTTAATACCAACAATAGGGAGGCAGAGGTAAATGGTTCTCAGTTGTGTTTGAGGTACACAGAGAATTGTAAGCCAGCCAGGGCTACATAGTATCTCTCTCTCTGTCTTTCTCTCTGTCTTTCTCTCTGTCTGTCTCTCTGTCTCTCTGTCTCTGTCTCTCTGTCTCTGTCTCTGTCTCTGTCTCTGTCTCTCTCTCTCTCTCTCTCTCTCTCTCTCTCTCTCTCTCTCTCTCTCTCTCTCTCTCCCTCACCCCTCTCTTGTACACATACATACACACATGCACAAGACCAGTAGGAGTCAATCAGTGAAAAGCACAAAGTGGCTGCTAATGGATTTTGCCATTCATTCTGGGATCCTGCCTGTCTTAGTCACTGTTCTACTGTTGTGAAAAGACACCATGACCGAGACAACTCTTAGTTTTAAAAAAAGTATGTAATTGGGGGCTTGCTTGTAGTTTAAGAGGTTTAGTCCATGATCATCATGGCAGGGAGCACGGCAGTGTGCAAACAGCGCTGGGGAGTAGCTGAGATCTCTATCCTGATCCATTGGCAGAGACAATCTGGGCCTGACATGGGCTTTTGAAACCTCAAAGCTCAAGCCGGGTGGTGGTGGTGGTGGCGGCGGCGCACGCCTTTAATCCCAGCACTCGGGAGGCAGAGGCAGGCCGATCTCTGTGAGTTCAAGGCCGGGCTGGACTGACAGCCTCCAAAACAATACAGAGAAACCCTGTCTCATAAAACCAAAAAACAAACAAAAGAAAGAAACCTCAAAGCTCACCCCCAGTGACACAGTTCCTCCAACAAGGCCACACCTAATCTTTTTCAAATAGTGTCACTCTCTAATGACTAAGCATTCAAATAGTACCACTCCCAGATGACTAAGCATTCAAACATATGAGCTTTGGAGAGCGGCATTCTTATTCAACACGACACTGCTTGAACAAGAGGGACAGAAACAGAATAAAGGGGGCTAGGGTGATGACTCAACAAGTAAAAGTATTGGCCATGAAGTTTGAATCCCCAGAGCTCATGTAAAAAATTCAGATGTGTAGCACTAAGATACATAATCCAGCACTCCTATGGAGAAATGAGAAATGGAGACAGGAGATCCTCTGGGAGCTCATGGGAAAATACAATGAAGAACAGACAAGACTCTGTCTCAAAACCAAGGTGAAAAGTGAGGACCAATACCAATGTCTTCTGACCTCCACCCTTGCCATGGCACACATGTATCTACACACACACACACACACACAGAGGTATTACACCCACAAGAAAGAAATTAGGTCCAAGAAAAGCCCCTGTTGTATTTCTGTCTTACAGTTCCAGCCTAGGGGGAAACTCTACTCCCATTCTTTTCCCTTCCTGACAAGTGGAAACTAAAGCAGAAAATACGTTGTCAACTAATGAATCAAGACGAAATCATAATGAAATCAAAACTCACAGACAATCGTCTGTGCTCTCTGCACAGAGACTGATGGTTTTCCCGTCTCGGCAGACGATCTGCAGCAGACAGTCTCTGGGCTTCCCATCTGGAGGCTGGATATCTAGGAGAAACAAGCAGAATGAAGAACCACGCAGTAGCTTGCCTTTTCGGTTTTGGTTTTTTTGTTTTGCGTTGTTTTGCTTGCCTACACATGTGTAGGAATAACGACCCACACAAGTGCAGAACAAGACAGAGCACACTACATGGGAAATAACCCGGGGCCTAACTAGATCATCAGGGAAACAACCAAGCTGGCTGGCAAGGAAGATGCCATATGTTCCCTGTAAAGTAAGCATGAAGAAAGGGTGACTGATTCCAGCATCCAACATACTTCATCATGGTTTCAAGAAACGGACCAGACGATCCCACATATCCCATGTCTAAATCAGAAAATGGGCATGGCCTAAGAGAGGTTCTGCCTTCCTTGGGGTTGCGAGCAGTCCAAAGACGAGGGGATGCAATGGGAAACAAGACACCCATCTATCGTGATGCTCATGGTGTGAGTGCCCGATCCCCACTATGGCTGCCTGGACAGAGCCCCGCTTGATACCGGAAGTGGACTCATTAACGGGGGAGGCATGGCAGTTCTGGGCGCCACTTACCCCGACACTCGTGCCCCACGCGGATATTGATGCAGTCCACTGGCATGTGGACCTTATCCTCTATACTCTGCCGGGTCTGATCATCATAGTAGATCAGGTGGCCATCGGACCACAGGTCAAACCAATTCTTCTTCCAGCGCTTCAAAATAGTACCTGCAGGGAAACAGGGAGAGCTGCCTTTGGTTTAAAACAATACAGGCTGTCCCCAGGGCACAGCAGGCACAGAGGAAACCAGCCACCCCCACAGGACTGGTGGAAACAGACATGGCCTGGCCACTCCCACTTTAACAGTACAAGCCCAGGAAGGCAGCCAAGCAAAGCACAAGTCGTGAAATAAACAAGAAAACGCAGACTGACAATTAAGACTGCACCCCTCCAAGGCAGCATCAAGGAAGAGGGGACGGGACATATGTAAAAGCCAAAGGACGGAGAAGGGTTCTGTGGAGCACTGCCATTTGGATACTGCCCAGAGGCCACTGAGACTATACAGCAGGTGACAACTAGTACTCGACAGGCTGACCCACCAGATAGAAAAGTCTAGCCTAAAGATAGAGAAGAAATATTTCCTAAGTTCCTCGCTGCTCTGAGAAGGCATTCTTCTCGCTACCCTGGGTGCAACCCTGGGAGCTGGCTTCCTGGGTTACAACAGGATACAACATGGCCACTGTACTCATGAACAAAGCAGCTATGAACACCTGCACAAGGCCCACCCAAGATCGGCCCTTTCAGCATTCCGACATGGATGGGAAAAACATACGCAAAAATGTTAATAACTTTGAGAAAATAAGGGCTCACCTTCCAAGAGCATGGCAATGCCTAAGGAGAAAACCAGAGGCCAGCCAAAGGACTAGCAAAGGACTTGTCTGAGCAAGGCCCTCCATGGGCCGTAGGAATTTGGGGGCACAAAGCTCAAGAAAAGGCAGCCCTTTGGGACTAAGGCTACCCTCTGAAATACCAGGTAAAGCCGGCATTGCTCACTCTGTCTAGGCTAAGGCTACCCACAGACCTGGGGAGCACAGCACAGCTCCAGGTTTGGAAAGGGGTAACTTGTAGGGAGAGATCCCATACCTGCAGTTGACCACGCCCCGAGTGGGCGTGGCCACGAGTAAGTGGGAGAATCAGGGATAAAAGAAGGAGCAGGTGGGCACTCTCGCTCTCCTGGATTCTGGCCTGGGTTCAGAGACCACAGAACGCTGACCCAGCTTTTCGTGTAAGTGATCGCTCTCTCTAAATAAATATCTAGACCCCTTTCCCCAATATTAGTCACGTGGATCAGTTCAATCTTCATTGGGGCGTGGTCAACTGCAGGAATGTGATCTCTCCTACAGTAACTGGCTCTCCCTGCTTTAGAGCACATCAGAGTGACAACCTAGGAGATGAACAGCTGGTATACGAAGGACACACCCACAGCTTCCAGGTCTAGAGCCTGGACCTCAAGCCCAAAGAACTGAGGTTCCTCTGGAAACCAAAGGCCAGTGTGCCCATCAAGGCAAGTCCCTGCTGATCCTTCTCAGACCCTACACAGGGCAGGTATTTCCCACACACAGAGGCCAGGCGTGGTCAGGCTCAGCAGCCTCAAGTCAATCCTGAATAATAGGACACACCGCTGAGGAACGGGAAGGAACAGGGACCTCCATGCTTCCTGGTTCCTGATAGGTGTTTTCACAGACAGTTCACACAGCTCTAAAACTTCCCAGAGGAAATGCAAGGTGACTGTTTGCAAATGGGATCTGTTTTAGCAGACTCAAGTGTCTCTACTCACTCTGCCGGAGCAACCATCCACTCTTGACAAATGCCATCTCTTCAGCTGCAAGAGAAAGAGCAGACAGGTTCAGAGCTAAAGAGTCAGGAAAAGGACAGCTCATCTGGCTCAAGTTTCCTCCCCCTCTCCTCTAGAGTGAGCCGAGGAACAGCTCATAGACATATGACCTCACACAACTCAACATTTATCAAGTGCCTCGTCCACAGGGCCACACCACCCACGTTTCCTCCCACCTCGCTGAGTCCCAACAGGCAGCCCCAGGAACACTGACACTCAGCTCTGAAAAGGACTTGAAACTTCTCACAATACACCCAGTGTCCTGGAGACGGAGTCCGGCTGCCTCCACAGGCTAACATGTCTGGTCATGCCTCACTGGTGTTAGCTGACTGAGTGAGTGGCTAGATCAAGGCAGAAAACCTTGGGTCTTCAAGAAAAAGACATATATTTAATGTCATAAAACTAAGGATCCTGGGGACTAGAGAGATGGCTCAGCAATTGTTGTCCTCCCAGAGGACTGAAGTTTCATTTCCAGAGCCCACCTGGCAGCTCACGATCACATGTAACTCCAGTTCCAGAGGATCTGAATGTGATCCCAGCCTCATCCTAGACACTGAAGACTAAGCTCAATGTGTTTGTTTCACTTCCTTTCTAGGCATGTGCTCATGCTACAGAACCACTCGTCAAGTTAAAAAAAAAAACTATTCTAAGCAAGAAGAGAAACCAGAGATCTGGGAAACTGATTCCAGGCCAGCAGAATCCAGATTCAAAAGGAGCAAGACAGGCATTCACACATTTAAAGACACATGCTTCAAAAGCGTCCCTGGCTAGAGAGAGGATTTGCCATGCAAGCATGAAGATCAGGGTTTGGATTCCTAGCAACCATATAAATGCCATTTGGGCATGGTGGCCCACCGTAATCCCAATACAGAGGTGGAAATGGGATCCCTAGAGTAAGCTGACTAGACACACCAGACAAACTGGCAAGCTCTGGTTCAATAAGGGACCCTGCCTTGCTGTCTCTGACTCTTTTACTGGCTTTTGGGACCCTACTCCTCATACTGGGTCGCGCTGCTCAGCCTTACTTAATAAAGGGGGAGGTGCCTAGTCTTACTGCGACTTGATATGATATATTTTGTTGATATCCATGGGAGACCTGCCCTTCCCTACACAGAAATGGAGGAGTGGAATGGGGGGTGGGAACAGAAGGGGAGAGGGGAAGGGCCTGGGAGGAGAGGAGGGAGGCGAAACTGCGATAGGGATGTAAAATAAATAAATAAATTTATTAAGAAAATAAATATGAGACCCTGCTTCAATGTATAAGGCAAAGAAACATCAATAAGATACCCCATCTCCCACACATGCATCTGCAGAAACTTGTGCCCTCACACATATATACATACACATACAATTATACCACACACACACACACACACACACACACACACACACGTAAAACTCAAAAATAGATAGGAAAAAAAAGGCATTAGCTGTAGAACCTTCCTAAACAGTAGCTTCTGATCGAGGGACACCCTGTCAACCTTCAACTGAATGCAGAAAATTCTCACTTATTCCCAGTGCCCAGGTGTATGTTTAATGCCAGTGTCCTCTAAAAGGACCCAATGTTTCTTGTGAGTGAGTTCGTTATAGTTCAGGGCAGGACACGTAAGAAGCTTACTGTTAAAATGCAGAGATGGTGCCAGCCAGATGGCTTAGTGGTTAAAGACACTAGCCATCAAGCCTGCTGACCTGAGTGCGCCCAGCACCTACAGGATGGAAGAGGAGCACCGACTCTCACAAACTGTCCATACACACGCTGTGGCAACACGGGTGTGCACACACATGCCCTCACTGGAATGGGCTGGAGAGATGGCTCAGCAGTTAAGAGTACGGGCTGCTCTTGGCAGAACACCAGAGTAGTAGCACAGAATTATAACCCCCGTAGAGGCTGAAGCAGGAGGACTGAAAGTCAACCTAGTCAAGGCTAAATGATGATCAAGTGAAATACTTTAAAGTGGGTCTCTGCTAGAAAACACTTGTCTTGGTTTGCCTTCTAGTGCTGTGATGCAGCACTAACCAAAAGCAACTTGGTGAGGAAACGTTTTATTCGCCTTACATACTCATGGTCATAGTCCATTGAGGGAAGCCAGAGCGGGGACCTGGAAGCTAGGACTGAAGCAGAAGCCGTGTGGGAACCGCCTACTGGCTCCCTTCACATGCTTACGTGGCCTGCTTTCTTACATAACCAAGGCCCCACACAGAGAGCAGGGCCATCCCACACTAACCATTACCCAAGACAACTCCTCACAGACGTGCCTATGGGCCACTCTGAGGGAGGCAGTTCCTCCAGTGAGATTCCCTCTTCCCTTACAGGTCTAGGTTCGTGTCTGGCTGACAAAAATCAACCAACACAATGTATTACAGGGGGAAAAAAACCACACATTTCACTATGAGCTTGATTCCATAAAACTGGGGGGATAGGAAATGGAATAAAAGAAAACAAAACAAAACAAAACAACAACAAAAACTATCTAGCTCTATCTTTAATTCTATATCATACCATCCTTCCACTAGGTAATGAAAGCTATGTGTTGAGAGGGATGATGTGTCGCATTTACTATCGAAGATGTTAAGACAGGCATGTTAAGACCACACCACACACTGGGTGGAGGGCTTGGGTCTACTGAAACTGGTAACCAAGGAAAGCTAGGAGCAGGCCTGAAGGCAACCTGAATTTGGCTGCTAAGAAAATGGCCCTGGAGAAAACAGCCCTTGGGTTCACAAGCTGAGGAATGTACTGAGGCTTGTTAGACAGGCTCTTACACAGAAGAAGCCATGTCAATGGGAGCACCCTGTGGCACAGGTGGCTCTTCACCCAGGTCAGAGAGGGCGTATTCTGGAGACACTGAAGCTGGGGGGCGATGCCATGTGATTCAGCACAGAATAAGGAAGCACGGGCCGTTCTGTCTTCTGGTCTCCTGGGCAGTACTCCTGGTACCACTACCTGTAAGCACTATTTACCAGCATCTACTATCAGCAGCAGCCTATCCTGGCTGGCCTCTGGCTGCAGGCCAAAAGCAACATGTGGCGCCTGCCAGGCCTTCCTCACCAGTGAAAGTAAGTTAAGATACACAGAGAGCAGTCCTTAGTAAACATTGCAGAAGGCCACTATATCCTGACCTCGACCCCTGGCCACGAAGTTTTAAAAACAATGGTCTCTGGAGAACTGGAATTTTCTCAGGCATCTCATGCTGGAAGGGAAAGGCCAATTCCACTAGAGGGGAGGCGAGTCTCCCCGAAACAGAATCCTCTCAGTTCTGACTTGTCAGACCACCTTGCAGCAGTCCAGTGCTCAACCAATGAGTCGATGATGCAGAACTTGACCAGAACTGCTTAGCTATGCATACTTCCTAACCTATTTCAACCTAACCTGGGGGGGGGGGGCACAGATGGCTCAGTAGTTAAGAGCAGGGCCTAGGTTCAATTCTCAGCACCCACACGGGGGCTCACAACACTTCCAGTCATATGGCATCCAACACCTTCTGGCTTCTGAAGGTACTATATGCATGTAGTATACCAATGCACACAAACACCCTTATATGCAAAACAAAGGTAAATAAATATAAAAATGAATAAATATAAACCTCATACCAGGCCCTAAAGGCAGATATGGTGGAAGGGGGTGTGTGGCTTTTTTACTACCATCTGTTTGTCTAACTGGAGTATTGAGGAACAGTGTCTGTTTGGCTTGTTAGTGCTGCCAAGGCCCAGGCTCCTGCCATAAAAACACCAGCATCATCACTGTCAAAGAAATAACACATACTGTATCCCAAAAAATCAAAACCAGAATGTTCTAAAATTAAGACCATTCAGAGCTCTGGGTTTAAATAACCACAATCAAACATGCAATAGGCCTGGGATGTATCTCAGTCAGTTACATAGTACTTGCCTGGAACCTGTGCACCCTGGGTTCCACTCCCCAGCACCAGGAAAAAGGGGACAGAGGGAAGGAGGACCAAATAGGGTGGGAGGAAGAGAGAGAGGGAAGGAGGGAGAAAGAGGAAGAGGAGGCGGCGGTACTGACAGTATCTTTTTCTCAGAAAAAGGAAGGGCTCCAGAGATGGTTAAGCAACAATGCAGTCAAGCTTGATGACCCGAGTTCAGTCCCCATTCCCAGACTCTAAAATGGTGAATGGAGAGAATTAACTCCCTCCAGTTGTAATCTGATTTATATATGTAACATGTATGTGCCTGTGGAGTGTTGGGAATAATGGTGTGTACCACCACTGCCCAGCTTAAATAAAAAAAAAAATTTTTTTTTTTGGTTTTTACGAGACAGGGTTTCTCTGTATTGTTTCGGAGGCTATCGGTCCAGCCCGGCCTCGAACTCACAGAGATCTGCCTGCCTCTGCCTCCCGAGTGCTGGGATTAAAGGCGTGCGCCACCACCGCCCGGCCTTAAATAAAAATTTTAAAGGGAAAAAAAAATCTGCTAGGAACTAAAGCTATAGCCCAGTCATAGCATAGCATGGCATAGAGAAGAGCTCTGGACTCAACCTTCAGCATCAATAAATAATAAATGACTAAAAATAGCCTGTGTATATGATTTCAGAAACAAACCACAGAGAAGGAGCAAAGAAATAGTATGAGATAGGTGTTTTCCAGAACAACACAGCGCTAGGTTCCTCAGAACTTTTAAAAGGTCCTTGGAGCTCTGGAGGGAGGCACAGCAGACAAGAGCATACACGGGTCTTGCAGAGTTCGGTTCCCAGCAGTCATGACAGCCAGTTCACAACCATGTACAACTTCAGTTCCAGGGGATCTTATGCCCTCTCCTGGATCCATGAACACCGTGTGCGCGCACATATGCGCACACACACACACACACACACTCACACACACACACGCACACACACGCACACATACACACACACTCACACACACACTCACACACACGCACGCACACACACACTCACACACACTCACACACACACTCACACACACAAACGCACACACACTCACACACACACGCACGCACGCACACACACA